AATAATAATAATAATAATAATAATAATAATAATAATAATAATAATAATAATAATAATAATAATAATAATAATAATAATAATAAGAAGAAGAAGAAGAAGAAGAAGAAGAAGAAGAAGAAGAAGAAGAAGAAGAAGAAGAAGAAGAAGAAGAAGAAGAAGAAGAAGAAGAAGAAGAAGAAGAAGAAGAAGAAGAAGAAAGAAGAAAGAAGAAAGAAGAAGAAAAGTTGGAAGGGACCTTGGAGGTCATCGAGTTCAACCCCCTGCTCAGGCAGGAAACCTTACACCATTTTGGACAAATGGCTGTCCAGTCTCTTCTTAAAGACTTCCAGTGTTGGCAGACAGATACAGATGTTATCCTTGTCATGCCCACATTTATGAGGTGTCACATGCCTCCTGCTGGCCAAAATAAGTAACAATGTCTTTCTAGGAGTAGCTTCTCTTTTATATGTGCCAGACTCCTACTTTGCGGGGGACACCCAACTGTCATCAAATATGTTGTCTCTTCCCAGGGTTGAGAAGTTAAGAAAAAGTCCTAGAACGGGGTTCCCAACCCCTGGTCTGTGGACTGGTACTAGTCCGCGGCATGCCAGCAACCGGTCCACACAAACAAGCAAAGCCCCAACTGTGGGAAGCAGGTAGCACACAAAACCATGCACTCTCTGGTCCATGGAAAAAACCTTTCTCCATGGAACTGGTCCCTGGTGCTCAAAAGGTTGGAGACCTCTGTCCTAGAAGAAGGCAATAGCAAGCCATTTCTATATTATTGACATACCCACGAAGTACCAGGAACTGAGCTTAACTCCATGAAGTCTTTATTTTAGATCAATTTGGTGGCAGCACCTTCCCTTCCTTTCTCCCAGTTACTACTATTGAGCCAGGTACCACCTATTCTGTACCCGAAACATTTGGTTTTTCTTTCCTAAATATAGAAACTTACTTTTCTCACCATTAAATCTCACTGTGTTAGATAGGACCCAGTGTTCCAAATGGTCAAAATCCTTCTGTATCTTGAACCCAACACCATCTTCTAGAGTGTTCGCTATCAGATCTAATTGTTGGTGGTCCTCAAATACTCCTATTCTCTCCTTGTTTTGGGAGCTTGGTATTTAGGGACGTTGTAGCACAAAAAAATTCACGTGTGTCAGGCCACAGTTCTAACCTCCTCAGCTTGCAAATGCTTCAGTGTATATCATAAAGGATTTTGTGCATTGTAATAATAATAATAATAATAATAATAATAATAATAATAATAATAATAATAATAATAATAATAATAATAATAATAATGATAAAGTTGGAAGGGACCTTGGAGGTCATCTAATCCAACCCTCTGCTCAGGCAGGAAACCCTATACCATTTCGGACAAATGGCTGTCCAATTTCTTCTTAAACACTTCCAGTGTTGGCGCATTCACCGCTTCTGGAGGCAGGTTGTTCCACTGGTTAATTGTTCTAACCATCAGGAAGTTTCTCCTTAGTTGTAGGTTGCTTCTCTCCTTGATTAGTTTCCATCCGTTGCTTCTTGTCCTGCCTTCAGGGTGCTTTGGAGAAGAGCTTGACTCCCTCTTCTTTGGGGCAGCCCCTGAGATATTGGAAGACTGCTATCATGTCCCCCCTCGTCCTTCTCTTCGTTAAACTAGACATACCCAGTTCCAGCAACTGTTCCTTATATGCTTTAGTCTCCAGTCCCCTAATCATCTTTGTTACTCTTGTCTGGACCCTTTCTAGAGTCTCAACATCTTTTTTACATCCTGGTGACCAAAACTGGATGCAGTATTCCAACTGTGGCCTTACCAAGGCCTTGTAAAGTGGTATTAATACTTCACGTGATCTTGATTCTGTCCCTCTGTTAATGCAGCCTAGCACTGTGTTGGCTTTTTTGGCAGCTGCAACACACTGCTGGCTCATATTTAAATGATTGTCCACTAGGACTCCGAGATCCCTCTCACAGTTACTACTATTGAGCAAGGAACCACCTATACTATACCTGTACATTTGGTTTTTCTTGCCAAAGTTTGGAAGGTGTCGATCTTCCCAACGTGTCTGGGCAAATTCTCCATTGGGAGGGCACCTTGTGGAGTTAGCAGAAAGTTAAGAGGAAGCATTATCCTGTGGTTATCCTCCATGCTACCATCACCCTCCCACACACACACACACACCACCTCAAACCCTAAGCGTCCTCTTCTGATCTCCTGCAGTTTGCTCCCTGCCCTAAGTCAGAGCCAGCAGAGCTGAGCTAGTATTAACAGGCCAGGCCCTCCGAAGGGGAGAGAGCAGGAGAAGATGAACTCGGAGGCAATCCGTTCTGCTTCCTTGCGCACCGTTGCTCATTTGTGCATCTGTCTTTGCTCAGCAGCAGATGTACTTATTCCAAGCACATCCATGGTTCCTGCTAGCTGTGTTTCAAGTCTTGAGATGGTCTCAATTGCTTCCCTGAGCTGGGGAGAATGGAAAGGAGGGCCTAATAGCTCCGCTTATAGCTTCAGATCCTGACTGTTGCTTTTATTTTGAGTTGCTTTGCCAGACTCTTTTAATTGGGTTGGCCATTTGCCACCTGGCCGTCCTCCCTCCTCGCTGAGTGTATCGTGTTCTTTTCTCGCATTCCTTCTTCCTGTCAGATCTGCAATATAATATCTGTACATTTTGTGGCAGCTCCATATTTTGCTGCTGAAAGTCTGGCTGTGGTTTCTGTCTAGATCTTAAATCACCAAGGGATGCTTTATCTTCCCCACATTTACTCTGCCCTCCTGCCTCTCGCACAGTTGCCCAGTCTCTTCCCTCCAAAAGGTGAGAGTTACGAGCTAGAATGTATTTGTGCACCAACACACCAGCACAATTGATAATACTGGAGCTGTGGGAGGAAGCAACGTTGGAAGGGGTGAAGCCTCAAGGAAAAATGACCTGCTTCTCTATAAACTGCAGCTTGGGGGGGGGGGAATTTTTTTTTTAATGCAGACCAGTGTTTTTCCAACTTGGCAATTTTAAGATGGGTGGACTTCACATCCCAGAATGCTGGCCAGAGAATTCCGAGAGGCAGAAGTCCACCCATCTGAAAGTTGCTAAGTCTGAAAAACGCTGATCCAGACTCTTTTCCTTTTCGCTAGACTTTTTATTAGGCTTTATTTCATTCTGCTTTGGACATTTGACTTTGAGAAGGGGATTCTAGATAAACTAATCAGGGAGAGAAGCAACCTAGAACTAAGGAAAAACTTCCTGACAGTTAGAACAATTAACCAGTGGAACAACCTGCCTCCAGAAGCGGTGAATGCGCCATCACTGGAAGTTTTTAAGAAGAGACTGGACAGCCATTTGTCTGAAATGGTGTAGGGTTCCTGCCTGAGCAGGGGGTTGGACTAGATGACCTATAATAATAATAATAATAATAATAATAATAATAATAATAATAATAATAATAATAATAGTAATTACTATTATTATTATTATTAATTTCTGTTGCTAAGCGAAACAGTTGTTAAATGAGTTTTTCCTCCTTTTACAACCTTTCCTGTCGCAGCTGCTAAGTGAATCACTGCAGCTTTTAAATCAGTAACACAGTTGTTAAGTGAATCTGGCTCCCCCATTGATTTTGCTTGTCAGGGGGTGACAAAAAGGGATCACACAATCCCTGGGACACCGCAACCGTCATAAATATGAGCCAGGTGCCAAGTATCTGAACTTTGATCACGTGACCCCGGGGATGCTGCAATGGTCATGAGTGTGAAAAACGGCAACAAATCACTTTTTTTTAGTGCCGTTGTAACTTTGAACGGTCAGTAAATGAACTGTTGTAAGTCGAGGACTACCTGTAATTACCTGGCAGGGAAGACACCATGATCATAAAGGTGGTTTGCCCAGGATGAGGCCCACCCATTGCATTCCAGGCGAGCTCACCCCTGCGATTTGCCCAAATGCTGCAAGCAATTTAGCGCAGTTTTTAATAATATCTTAATGTCAGTTTAATCTTTTAACTATTTTACACTGTTCTCTGTAATTTGTAAGCTCCCCAGAATCACCTTGTAGGGCATATGGTGGCATTGAAATCTGTACATACAGTGGGGTCTTCTTACACTGTGGCCAAAACACCACGGTCCAGGGGTTCCCAACCCTCAGTCCATGGACTGGTCCCAGTCTGCAGCATGCCAGAAACTGGGCCACACAAACAAGCAAAGCCACATCTGCAGGATGCCGGCAGCATGCAAAACCACACTTCCTCTGGTCCATGGGGAAACCTCTGGTGCTTGGTGCCCAAAAAGTTGGAGGCCGCTGCCATAGCAACCAAAAAGGTTGGAGGCCTTAACTGGCCCTTCCATTCACTCCCCAAATAGGTCAACGGGAGGGGGATGTCTTCTAAGATTCCCCAACCCATCACCTTCCCTCAGTGGCACTGCGGCTGTCCTTGCTAAGTGGGAATCCTATGTTGGAGAAATTGTTGGCGGATTCTCCATCCTCTGGGGAAAAAACAACAACAATGTGGAAAAATCAACAAACACACACCCCCTTTTTTTTTTTCTGCCCACAAAATTTGAAAGGCCGGGGGTGACTTCTTCAGTCTGAATGAATTATCCCCATGTAGATAATAGGCAGGAGGAGGCGAGCTAAAACAGGGGCTGTGGGGTAGAGAAAACAGGTGTTATCGGGAGAGTTTGTAAACTTGCTGCAAAGGACCATCTGCCATTGCATATTTAAAAAGTCCATCTGGACCCTCCGCTGCACACAGAGATGGCCTTTTGAAGTTCACCACCAAATTTCTGGGCAGAGAAATTGAGTAGATAGTTGCTCTGAAGTCATCCAGGGGAAAGAGATGATCTTAACCTACTTTTCAAGGACATGACTCCCTGTGGAGCGTGGCACAAATACCACGAGAGGGATTTCCTCACAATATTATCCCTGGGGGGGTTTAATGGAAAAAATGGACAGCCAAGGCAGCTGTGGAACATTTGAGGATTGCCTAGTGACAAAGAGAACATTCAGATCTTCGCCTGGAATGCTTTAAATTAAATAGCTAGGTTTCAACAATGTATTTAGCCTGGTCTTCAAATTAGCTCATTTCCTGTGCTCATACAGCACGCTGAACCGTAGATTAGACTGAATTAGGCTTTGATTCAAGCAGAATGCTTGAAAGTAGTTAGAGTTTAAGCTAAGTAAGATTAAAGTCACTACTTCAGCCTTGAGGATTGAAAGAATAGTGCAGAATTTAAATAGGGGTTCAAGCAGCTTCCCCAACTTTCAGTGAAAGGGAGAGACAGATCAAAAACACCTTGTGTATTTCTCCTGCAAAGGATACAGTAGCTGGCCCTTCGGAGTAGAGCAGTTCAAGAAACATTAATAATAATAATAATAATAATAATAATAATAATAATAATAATAATAATAAAGTTGGAAGGGACCTTGGAGGTCATCTAGTCCAACCCCCTGCTCAGGCAGGAAACCCTATACCATTTCAGACAAATGGCTGTCCAGTCTCTTCTTAAAAACTTCCAGTGTTGGAGCATTCACCGCTTCTGGAGGCAGGTCGTTCCATTGATTAATTGTTCTAACTGTCAGGAAGTTTCTCTTAGTTCTAGGTCGCTTCTCTCCTTGATTAGTTTCCATCCGTTGCTTCTTGTCCTGCCTTCAGGCGCTTTGGAGAATAGCTTGACTCCCTCTTCTTTGGGGCAGCCCCTGAGATATTGGAAGACTGCTATCATGTCCCCCCTCGTCCTTCTCTTCATTAAATTAGACATACCCAATTCCAGCAGTCGTTCCTTATATGCTTTAGCCTCCAGTCCCCTAATCATCTTTGTTGCTCTTCTCTTTTCACTTTAAAAAAAATTATGCAGGACCCCAAAAGAACTTTTGTTTGTATGGTTTACATTGAATGATGATGATTATTATGGTTCATCACACACTCAGCCAGATGGTCAGATTGGATTTGTCATTTTTTGTCCACCCATCGAGTCCTTCCCGAGGACCTGGGATAGACCGATGTTGATGTTTTATGGTGTTAGAGTTATCATTGTAGAATGTAAGCTGTACCAAGTAAAGCTGCCTTTTGCAATTGACTGATGGTCATTTTGTCAATGCCAGTGATGCTCAAATGTTGCTCCCGTTGTTTTGGGATTGTACCCAAGGCCCCTATTACTATTGATGCCACCTTTGCTTTCTTTTGTCATTCTATTTGGAAGGTCCCTTCCAACTCTGTTATTCGGTATTCTTATTCTTCAAGGCTATTCTCACAGTCCATTATTCTTACCCTCTAAACTTATCTGCTCACTGCAAACATATCCTGGTGAGAAATTCCACCGGTTAATTAGGCACGACTTTCTATGTGTCTGAAACCTGGTCCTTGGGAATTTGACCACAAATATGGCTGTACGATGGTGTAGTAGCTATCCTTGTCCTTCCTGTTACTATGACTGATGTCCAAGGAGTCTGGCAGTGCCTTTTCTGACTAATTCAGTTTATTAAAGGTTCTGTGAGCTACTACTACTTTTAATAGAATTGATTAGTTGGAAACTGTGCTAGCAAACTCCTGATTCTTGGCTATCATGGGCTGATAGGTCCCCCGTACAAAGACATCCAAGGCTGAAGTTCTTGTGCTCCATTCAGCCCTCCGAAACTTTTCTTTGTTGGCTGGCAGAATATAAAACAGACATTCCATCCTTCATGACTTACAGACCTGTTATTTTTTAATTGGCTAAGGATTGCTGTAAACAGCAGACGCCTCTTGCTTGCCGCCCTCTTTGTGTTTTCTCCTCTTTTGCTGCTTTGTGTTGCATCAGTGGCTATTTTTAGAATAACAATAATAGTAGCATCTTCCTCCTCCTCCTCCACAAGGGCCCAGGTACTGCAATGCCCATGCTTGCTCAAAGGAGAAAATGCTGGTGGGCTGGGATCAGAGCAGCAAAGCAAACCTGCCCCCAATTTAATCAAGCACCAAAGGGGTCACTTTCCAAGACTAGTGTTTGAGAGTTGGGTTTGTTTTGCTTTGTTGTTCTTTCGGCTACATCTTTATTGATTTCTATAATAAAGGTTGGTTGTCCTTTCCCTTGAATGCAGCAGATGAGAAAGTGAGTTATCCTTTTTGCTTGTTTAAAACAAATGAATGGAAATAAGTGAACCGAGTGGAAGAATTGCGTTGGTTGTTCAGACGTTCATGAAGGAAGTGTAGTAGAGGTGTTTTAGCAAGGAAGGTATGACAGCGAGGAAGAAGCAAACAGGGCATTCAGGAGAATCATTTGAAGTTTTGAAGCTCCGTTACAAATTTTCTATTGTGACCCGATCACGTTACTTAGGACACTATAGAGCAGGGGTGTGAGACTGGCGGCCCACGGGCTGAATGCATCCTGCACAGGCCACGCCCACCCCATCTCTGCAAGGGCAAAAAACATCGCAATATGTCACGATACGTCACATGACACGATCAAATTTGACAGCTGTGCTATAGAATAATGTTTCTCAACCTTGGCAACTTTAAGACACGTGGACTTCAACTCCCGGAATTCTCCAGCTCATGCTGGCTGGGGAATTCTGGGAGTTGAGATCCGCATGTACACATACTGTATTCCTTACTCAAATTATTTGTTGCTACTTTTCTATGGTTGGGAGATGCATTGAGGCTCTTTCTTATAACGATACCCCTCTGTACTCTGTTCAGGCAAATTTTTCTCCATGGATCTGCTCTTCTTGCCTTCTTTTTCTAGGCTTATAATAATAATGATGATAAAGTTGGAAGGGACCTTGGAGGTCATCGAGTCCAACCCCCTGCTCAGGCAGGAAACCCTA